TGTTTTGCTTTAATTCACTGTTGTAAGCTGCTCATTCACTGTTGAAAGCTGTGTGCGTCAAATTTTTTTTTTTACACTGTGAATACAAGATAACAATACATTTTGTCTAATTCCTTTGCATTCATTTGTTAACATTTATAGGAGAGAGGTGTTCTTTACACAGATAGAGAATGCAACAAAATACAAAATTCTAAATCAAACTTTAACTAAACCTATTTTCAGTTTTCATTGACTAGAATTTTACATAAAATCACTTCATTGTGACTAAATCCAATTAGCATTTTTATCCAAAAGACTAAGACTTAAACAGAAACTAAGAATGCTGCAAAAAACAACACAGGCTGGTAGATTATGGGAAGAAAGAATCTAGAAAATAAACAAAAAATCTTTAGTCTAATTAAAATTACTAATTGGTCTGGCACCTATCTATTCCAAAAAAGAGGAATTCCTGGAGGTGAAGGGTTGGCCAACCCAATACTACGAAGGCATAGCTAATAAAGTGACCATGAGTCTATACTGTGATCAAAAAACAACAAAAAAAAATTAAAGAATAAGCATTCTGTAGTAAAAATTACATTATTAGTATTCCATAAAAGTTTAAAAACAATCCACTGGACTATTCAAATTTTACGGAATTACTATGACCTGGATGACAGAGAATCTTCATCAGCATACATTATTAGCAGATTTTAAATCCAGATTTAAGAATAAGAGCTGAGCCCCCAAAAAATCTGGATCTGAGCATCTCTAAAATGATTCCCCTGGTCAAGAAAATTAACAAAATGAAAAGTTTGTCTCTTCTCTGTCTCACAACCTTCTTCTCTGTAATTCTTCAAACAGCTAGAATAATGCCTCAAAGTTTCACCCCTATAACCTCATCAAAGGAAATCCTTTTACGTCAGTGATGTAAAAAGCTAGCTAACAAGGAACATACACTCTGAAATGTTGTAGTTATGTTTTGGTCTCTTATTGTTCTAGAGATGCATGGATTGTTTTTGATATACTTTCAGTAGAAGAACATCAAAGATCCCCTACAGCTGGTTCACCATTTAGTGAAACGGGTCGCTCAGCAGGAAAGACTGAACACACAAGGTGGACTAATGTACTCATCAAAGACAGAACCCTGGTCTCTAAAACAAATGACAAAATGGGTGGAGTGATCATGCTGTTTTCACGCTGCTGAACTGCATGAACCATCGTGACCAGAAAATGCACATTGACCCTTTAAACTCTGTTATTAACTAATGGGTACATTTCACACAACAGACACGATACAACAGAGAGCTGCGTTAACTGAGAAAAACAGCCAAATTGACAGTGATGTAGTTAAACAAAGGACAGTATGTTCGCTTCTCTTATTCGAGTTAGCGTAAATTCGACAGGGATGAGGAGGTCAAAAAGAGTGGGATGCAGGGTGGAAAGAAGAGACAGGAAGACAGACTGAGCTGAGAGATTGTGATGAAGGGGAAAAAGACATGCAAACAGAGGAAATTAGTAATGGAACGAGAGACTGATGCAGACTGCTGTTTTCTTTCCTTATCAACGTCCAGCCAGTGCTGCTTTTTAAGAAAATAGTAATGCAGCAGCAGAAAGCAGAGCCTCGAGCATCTCTATCAAGAGTTAAATGAAAAAATAATTTAAATACGAGAGCACTCTCTCCGTTTCTTGCTAGGAAATTCAAGCAGCCCTGACAACTCCTTCAGACGTTTCACGGCTCCCTTCACCATGTATGAGGAATGTCTACAGATGTAAACTGAACATCATCTCTTGCACTACTTCTGTTCGTCTTTCAACCCATCCTGCCCTCCATCTCATGAGAAATGTTTCCTCAGACTCCGCTATCTTATTTAACATTGAAGAAGGCAGTTCTGTGACTGCAGAAAGGTTGATTTTTGTGTTTACAACACTACAGAGATAAGTCATCATCATAACTGGAGTTAAAAAAGCAAAGCTGTTAAACTATGTATGGATTCAGTAAAAGCAACAAATAATAAAAGCAGAGAGGGAGAGAAAATATTCCCCTTTGTGATAAATTATTTAGTATTCAAGTTAGAAAACGATGCTTTTGCATCAAGCTTCTCCTTCTAGTTTGAGAAGTTCTTTTGTCTGAGCATTGCCTAAAGCAGGACAAAGCAAAAAACTGTCCTGACTTGACCAAAATCAAGACTCCACATAGGGATTTCTACCTCCAAATCGTAAATCTGGAGAAAATGAATGACACCACTCCCATCATTACTGGCTAGCATACTCACATTTTTTATCCTAAATAAATATCCTCCTTTGAGCCCAAACTAAATCTTTTATAGCCTTTCCATGAGACTCATATTTTTTCCATCTTCTCACATTCTGTGCACATAATTCGGCAGTAGAATTTCTCCATGTCCTTGACCATGCAGCCTGTGTGGCATTATGTTTTCTATAGCAGTTCCTAGAGTCTTACAGGTTCCCCTGAAGCTAAAGGCATGCATCCTGAAAATTTTTAAACCCAAAGACTATGCATGGTAACTATATGTAGGTTTGTATTAATCTCCTATGCGGAGAAAAGATAAAACAGGTACAGAATGGAGGAAAAATCATGCAGCTGTTGTGGTTTGTGTGGTTTGCGTTGCCCAGTCAGTTGTGCACTCCTACAAAAGAATAATGTGGTATGAAAGGGAACCTAACCAAAATATGGTATCAACATTTTTGACATTCCCCAACAAATCAAATCAAGTCCACTGGACTTTAACAGCATTAATGGGTGTATAAAGAAATGTTTTCTAGGTGGGACCGAAGCTCAGACACATTAGGTACTTTTTGAAGCTGTTTTTTATAGAAAAGTTTTGACAATTCAAATGTTTAACTCCTCCATGGCAGAAGTTCAGTTATCCTTCCTGTAACTCTTAACATCAGTAAAACTACTGTGGCTTAAGAAAAAGCTGTCTAAAGATGTGATTATGATCTGAATTATTCCAATGTTTTGTGAGGAATTGGTGCCTCTCCACTCTCCAACAGAGTAGCTTTTAAATGTCTTCCCTGTATTCCAAAAAAGTTTAAAAAAAAACAATCCACTGGACTTTCCACACATTGAGGAAAATAAATAGTAAAATCTCTAAATTCGTAAGGTACACCAGTCACGTTCGCCGGTATAGTTAGTCAGACAAAATAAACGATTTGGTTCAGCCGTCACGGTTTGGCGTGCAATTGTTGGCTTCGGACCATACTTGCACACAATTTTGGAGGTGTCAAGGAAAATCAGCTGTAGAGGAGGTGAGAACATGTTAAAAAGAAAACACTTGGAGCTAGAGGATATGCCAGCATTTTATAGGGTCTGGTGTTTGGGAGCATTTTGCATTGCAGGTACCATGCAACGCGTAACATTTATTCTAGGGAAACACATCTAACATGTAGGTTCATCTGCAGAGACAGCATCCCAGAAAGACTGCTGACAGTACAAGAAGAAGGAACTGTCAGCTGGGAAAGGTTGCAGGACTTTTTCTCACCGAGGCTTTTAAACAATCGCAAAATGATGACGTCGAATGGCATAATGAAAGAATTGGGAGTATTTAATCGCTAAAGACATGTAACCTTAGTTGTGGTTGAGGGTTTGGGATTTCAGTTCATAATAAAGACACTCGAGCCTGGATATAAAATTCCTGCCCACAAATACTTCCGTTTTAATGTAATTTCAGCTCTTGATAAAGCGATCCGACTGGAAATTAATAAAGAATCACAGAGTATGTTGCTCTTTACATGGATGCGAGGACAGTCATAGCAACTTAAAGTTTCCTTACTGTGACTGTCTATTACAATGACTCAGTATGGAAGATGAGAAGTTCCACTTTACAGACACAACTCCCTTTATTAATATAAAAAAACAAGTGGGCATCTCTCTGAACTACAAACAGAAGCAGAGAGAGAATGGAAGTCGCAAAGGGAAAACTGCACAATCACTGTTACTACAGATGGTGCAAAACATATAGAGAATGCTGTCATTGCAAAAGCTGGATTGGGTCCACAAATTGCCTGCTTTGTACATACGGTAGTTAACCTGGCAGCTAAGAGTTTCCATAAGTCAGGTATCATAACTGCGGGAGATTAGGAGGGTTCTTCCTTCAAAGCAAAACAGCCAGCAATACCTTCAAAACCAAACAGGGGATGATGGAATTGCCAGTTCCTAAACTAATTCACAAAGTCCCCCTCCACTGCAACACAACATAAGAGACACTGAAGGAGTATTTTGGAATAGGAGCCTACTATCTAATCTGCTTAAAAGGAGAAGAAAATTAAGAAACATCTGAAAGATATCTGTGTTTTGACTGACAGTGAGGCAAAACTGCCAGAGGATCAAATACAATTTCTTCATTTTTTCTGGTTTAAACTATTGGAACTCAGAAATGTGACCACTCAGTACAAAGTGAATCCACTACATGTTGTTTTTCATCCCCCTGTGAAAAGATATAACTTTGGCAATAATGAATACCTGAAACCATCCTATTTACTTCAGTTTTCTCATTTTAGTCAAGTAAAGAACATCCAAGCCTAAAAGCAAAGAACTTTTGAGTTTTGTTCGCTGAAAGTGTCCTGGCACCCACTGAGGGGTGTAGTTGTTCATACATGCACATGGGTGTGTACAACTATGAGTGTTGGCAGGATAGAGGGTTTATGTTGTATTGATAGTAGGATGTAAACAGAGGACAATAACAGCCCTTCCATTGTTTGAAAAAAGCTGTTAGCTGTTGGCAGGTTCGAGCGAGAGCCAGACATAACAACTGTTCATTTTGTTCATTAAATGACCATAGCAGAGGAAGTAAGGCTGGGAAAGACAAAATTCCGCAGGAGATTTAGAAGGTTTGGGTCCTTTCTAAATAGCGTGTTGGGAAATCATCCCCACCCTTTCTATTATGTTCACCTTTATACTCTTAAATCCATCTCCATGCAAATTGATCCAATGACAAGGCTGCATGTACTTGATGTTTTCCCAAGGGTTTCTGTTGTGCCTGTATGGGTGGTGTACTCACAGCAACAAGAATCTGCACGCTGCTATGCATGACCTCTATGTACTGGTAGTCCATGAAGCAGCCCATGACAGTGATGTAGGAGTGGCTCTCTGTGGTGCGGACTCCGGGGGCCTGTGGCATCTCTCCCCTCACACAGCCGGGACCGTGCTCACTCCACCAGGAGTGATGGGCTGATATGTTAAATGTCAGCAGATCGCTCTCCTAGAAGTAAAGAGACACATTAACCTTCTTGTATGTGGTCTCTATTATTTATGAAGCATATTCATATAAACATTATGGAGAACCTAGACAGGTTGTTCAAGACGAAATGTTGCCTTTATTTAACACCAGTTTTGATCATTTTACATAGCTATAGTATTGTGACATTTTATTTCTCTATTTAGATTATAGCACAAAGTTACCTTAATACACTTCATAAAAACAAAAAAAAAATTTCCTTAAAAGAAGGTGCTAAATCAGACTTTCCTGTCTCTGTTACAGTTCAGATTGAATTCCTAGAATATCACTATTCGCTAAATTCCAGGATGAAAATTTTTTCTTTGTACATAAATTTAGATTTCTATTCTTTTACAACTTTTTGGTCAAGCCCAATGATGGTATTATTGCTTTTTAAGCTTCTGACAGGACAACATTTCAGCTAAAATTAGCTGAAATTGTTGATGTGCTTTAAGTAAAAATCACCTGTACCTGAAGCTCCATGCTCATTACCTTAAACCGTTATATGAATACAGCATATATACAGTAGGGGAGTGTCCGAAAAACATACAGCTCAGGATGGGAATGGGTGTTTTGTCCAATCGGTGAAATTGGTTTGTTGTGAAATGTGCAAATCAGCATATCACCAAAACCAAAAGACTTTTAGAAGTTGATATGTGAAGCTAGTAGAGAGAACATTATTATCCAGAATAATAGTCCCGTAAAGACACATCCTACACTTGTACTGCCAAACTTAATAAGCCACATGATAGTGTGCAGATACTGAGTACTGGCTGTAGCCAAAATGGGAATACAGTTTCATGTTTGAAATTTCTGGTTTGTCACATAACTTTGTTATTTAATACCATGTAAAATGTATTATTTCAAATCAATGTTAATAATAGTTACAGACATCTTTATTTTAAAGTAAATGCTCTCTTTAATATCCAGCCCATGTCTGGAGGAACCTCTGCCAACGTTCCCAATACTACGAGTTCGTCAAACATAAAGAGAAAGAAAATACCGGGTATGGAAAGAAAATAAAAGAAGTTGACATCTTAGAACCGCTTCATATACTGTAGATTTTCTACTTTTACTGGTAGGGGTACTTCATATATCCAAAGCCATAACCAGGAAATCTACACCCAATCTATCAGCATCATGAAATCAGAGCTAGAACAGTTGGTTGAATACACTAACTGTTACGCTATTACATTTGAAAGTTTTTCCACAAGTTTTGAATGTTAACACAATAAATGACTACCGGTAATAGAGGGAACTATTAACTATTATCGTCTTTTTGCCCAAACCTAATCTGTGTTATCATGCCATAACGATCTCATAGAGGTCTATACCAGGAATTGTTTGCAATGTTGTATTCAACAATGCAAAAATTAATAATTGAATATAAAATAATAGCAATAAAACTATTAAATAAGTTCCTATATATGTAAGCAATCTTTTTTTTTTATCATTTATAAAAAAAAATTCTCTAATCTCTCTTTCTCTAATCTCTCTCAAAAATATCTCAAGCAGTTACCAAACATTAGCTCTCAAAGATCATGGGGGGAGGACACATTTAGGTTAAAAAATACAGTATATACTCAAAGGAAAGCCTGTTAAGTACAAGTGAGGTTTAACAAGATATTTGGCGAAAAAATAGCATTACAAAAATTCTAGGGCCGACAACTGAAACAGGTTTCCCTGCACACTATGGTGAGGTTTATTTAGCAGACAGACATCTTCACACAAGGGCAGGACGGTCAGAAACTGATGCTGATCAATACCTCAATACAGCAATCTATCCCAGCATCTGCTCCTCAGTGACTAGACATACATTATTAACAAAACAGGGTCTGTCAGGAAGTAGCATAATCTGGCTAAAAATAAGCATCAACAGAACATACATTCAGTAGCCTTCAACTTACAGCAGGCCAAAACTTTACATAAACTAGAAATCAGGTACAAAACACATATCGGTGCATCTCTGATGAATATTAATTTGTGCATTATATTACACCTATGCAATATACTGTTAATTTGAGAGTTAGCTTAACAGTTACAAGTATTTTAACTAAACTTGTAGACACGAAGGTATCTAAAAAATGCAGAGGGGAAATCAAAGTATATTCACTGTCTGCTTAGCCTATTTTACATGTCAAATGTCTTAACAGAAATGAAAAAAAAAGTTCCAGGACGTAATTTCATCCTTTTAGAAGATGTATTATTAAAAAAAAAAATACCTCAACAGAAAAAGCCCAGTTATGGACATAGCGAAGAGTGGTTATCACTGTGTAGATTTTTAGAGAGATTGAATAGATAAGGTCAATGGATGGAGCCTGTTTAAATCAAAGGTGTCTGTGGAGTAGCAGGGGTCTATTTGTCTTGCCATGTGGGGGAGGGTATAAGAGATCAATAGAAGGTGACAGAACATGTGGCATGTGACTCTGTAACAACCTGCCCCCTCTCTCTGCAGAGATGACCAGCACACAAAACTCACACACACAAACAGGTACAAACTCAGACTCTGCTTCCTTCCTGTCAACATCAGTCAACATGATCCAAAAAGACTTAGCTCATTTTGTATCATGATATAAGGTGTTTGGGGGATCCTCCCAATAGACTGTCAAGTGTGGAGTTTTTTATTTTTTGTGTGGATGGGTTGAGTGGGTGTGTATGTGTGCACTCCATTAGCCAGCTTTCCTCCTGGCCACCATATGCAGAGCTCTGAGCCCAAGCTGGCTCCATCTGTCGGGTTAATGCTCAGCCTCAGCCCCAAGCAGCTGGCCCCTACAAGCATCATTATTCTAGCTGGAACTACACTACAACACACATCCTTGTGCTCATTGATATAAGCAGGGAAAGACAGACAGACACAGTCGATGAAGCCAAGGAACATCGCACAATGACAAACTCACCATAACCTGGGAATGGTGTTTCTGAAACTCATTTTGGCTGTCTGAGCAGGTGTCAGACAAATGTTGCCAACATGAATTTATTATTCTCAGTGGTCAGCAGGTGGTATGGTAAGGTTTTCATCAATGGAAAGGACAGGAGAAGAGTAGTGATCAGAGTAGATCATGGGAAAAAGAGGAATAGCTGTGCAACATTAGTCGCTTGTCTTTTCTGATACAAATTTGATCTTTTGAACAACAAATTGTTAATTCTCTGTTAAGTTAAAACTTATTTTGCTATGCTTAAGTCACTGGACCAACTGAGCATTATCTTCTATAACCCAACTCTGAATATCTTGAACCTATGGCTTACATTATCTGTGCTAAAACTATTTCATGTGGCCGTATTTATGACGTAACGTAACCCGATACAGACATTCCCTCTGTCTTGTGAAAAATATGCCATAACTCAGGATTACAACTAGAGAACAAAATGAACGCTCACTCTATCTTGTAAAGTTGATGACAGTTTTAGTGTCTTCTCTTATTATCTCAGCTAGTTCTGGGATTAATTATCAACTGTGATGAAAGACCAAGGGTTTTCCTGTTCTGGGTTAGAGTGAGATACATGTCCCTATTTGGGACGGATGTCCTTCTCTCTGACTCTTCTCATTCCTGCAGGAATTAACATTTTTACTACACAGTTTTTGGTGTAATGTCCCAACAGCTTTGGAGCAGAGGCGTAGCCAGAACATTTTTATAATGGTGGCCAGGCAATAACCAATGTACACTGAGGGGTAGCCGAAAGCAGATAGGCACCAAAACCTCAGGGTCAATCTACACTGTTCCAACAGGAAAATGAATTAGCAAAACATCCATACTATCTAAATAAAGAAAAACCATATTTTCCCTACAGCCTTTGCTAACAAATAGACGGATATTAAAAAAACATGCTTTCTAGATAAAAGGTATAGTGGATAAAATGGTTTCAGGTTTGAGTTTTGGGGCAAACATCTTTTCCATTGTCATTACTTACCTACTTTTATCAGCATTCTTTCTGCATAAAATTGATATTTACAAGTATAAATATCTACATAAATTGATTATTTAATTATTTTTTTCTTAAAATCGTTATTTATCTATGATTTCACTGAAGACTCCTAGATGACTTTTCTCTTTATCCCATAAAACACAAAATATTTTTCTGCTTGAATTCATTATTTATCACCTATTATTTTAGTATATTGATGTGCATAATTAACCACAGTGCTTTTGTTGTCACATAATTGTTAAAATATGAAAAATTCTAATGTTTTAAATATTCCACTTGAGAGTACTACTGTTGCCAACATCTGTATTAGAGGGAAATAAATGGTAGGGTGGCCACAGTGGTGGCCAATACTTGGCTAAGGGTGGCCATGGCCACCCCTGGCCCCCCATCTAGCTCTGCCCCTGCTTTGGACATTCAGCATGTTGTATGGAGGATTTCTGTGGATATAGGTTTTCTTGTCTTTCCACAGATTTACAATAAAACTTTTCACTTAGAAATGGACTTAGCCTTTCTAACATTTGATTATGGTACAACAAAAGAAAAACATCCTACCAGGATGATTAAAAAAAAAAAAAAAAAAATTCTAAATCTTAGTGTTCTCCCATACATAGCATTGTGTATGTAGACCAGAAATTCCTTTAAACTATTTGACCCTTTTTTCCATGTTTGCAGAGTTACTTAAATTGCTTTTGGGAAAATCTGGGAAGACCTTATGGCTTTCTTTAATTCCATTTTTGGATGTTTAATGCTTTGGATTCCCTTCTCGTCTCAACTTTTCCCTGACCTGTCTAGCTCACTGGCTTTCATGATGCTGTTCACTCACTAATATTATCTTTCCAAATGATAAAGACCTTCAGGGAACAGATTTATTTATGCTAAGATATAGTTACACATGTGAACTCTTTTTACTTCATAAGCAGCCTCTGAACCTAATGAGCTGCAAAGGTTCTTATTTTAGGGTAAAATTTTAAATGGAGAGAAAACAAATACATGCCACAAGCATTAAATCACTATGATTTATGATTTGCATTTAAAACAGGACAAGAATAAAAACCCTCAAAGGGTCTGAATACTTTTCTATGGTCTTGTAGGTGCATAGAATTAACAGTGCTTTAGAAATTATATTTTTTCTAATTAGATAGTTTTTAAACCTGCAATAGAAACCCAGCAGGGAGGTACAGTGTATATGTATCCGACAGCTCGTTCCACATAAACACACCAGGATAACATAAAAGTAGCAGAGATATTGCAGTTCTGTCTGCTTCATAAATTTCATGGAGTCCATGGAGAAATTTATAGTCTGCTGTTGGATTCCTAAGAGTTACTGATGTCACACTTTCATTACACCGTACACTGCATATAATTGTGTTTACTTTGACTGCACTTATATTCATGGCCATTGCTTCAAGCATAATGGGAACCAAAAAAAAACTTTGTGGCAGAGTGTCACATTTAATTATAGCTGAAGTTTATATTCAGAGAAAATAAATCTGAATTATATCTCAGTTTGTTTTTCCAAGTAAAACTTTATTTTTGGCTGAGACCAATCAAACAAACAACTACAGTGCCATACAGTCAAAGTTATTCTGAGTAATTTTCAGAAGAAATAAAAAAAGAAAAAGAAACAAGAAATCCTGTTACTCTAGGTTTTTTTTTCTTTGAAAGGAACTTCGGCTTAGCAGCCAGGTTCTTTAATCCCTGATTACGAACCTCATACAGAAGCTTTTTATAGCAACAACCATCAGTGCAAGTATTTTTACCATATACTTTGATGAAATGATGAAATGCTTTTTACAAGTATTTGACTTAAATGTTCTTCTGTTCTTCTTGCTTTTTTTTTTTTGTTTATTTTTAAAAAAAATTTATATCAAGAGCAATATCTTTGTTAAACCCTAGGGATCCTCAGAAATGTAAAATGGTCCTACAGGGCTTTGGCAAATATTACAGCTCAGAGCCATTATCACAGGTAGCATACCTCTCTAATAGTTTCAGAAAATCCTGACATGTTTTATTCTTATGTGCACATTCCACAAACCTTTGTTATATGTTGTGCACTATGGCTGGGCAGTTGGAGTACAACAACATAATTTACTTAATTACAGATGTGGTATTGATCAAATAACAGATAAAGACCCACTGAGACCTTTTTGCCAAGTGTCCTAAATACACCAGAAAAAATTTCAAAAGAGAGGGATTGTGTAGTTACACTTGGATCAGGGAAAGATCATGCGCAATCACAGCATAGTTAAATCAAATTGGCTTTAAATAGAACAATAAACCATTAAAGTGGTTATTTGGCATGTAATACTGGTACTTTTGTTTTGCGTCTTCTTTATCTTTCTGTCTTCCACTTTGGTATTGATCAACTAACTTTTTACCTGAACGATCCTCTGTAATTTAGGCTTGTCTACACAATCCTAAAGGATTGTGTATTGGGATTGTGCACATTATATAATGTGCACGATCATACATACATGCTCAATCATGTTAACTGTTCAAATAGAGCTGCACAATTCTATGTGCAGTTCCGCACTGGTGAGGCCAGCAGTATAATACAACATTTTAGAGAAGCGGCTGTTGCCTGGCTCATCTGGGAGCCTTCAGAAATGCATCAAAGTGGACCTTATGGAACTACTCTGACTGACTAGATTTGCTGCCATGTGCTGCATAGGCGCAGTAGAACAAAGCAACAGATGTGGAAGAGGAACTGCCACATTCAGAGGAACCAAGAGGTAGTAGGGACATGAAAAAATTAAACAAATTTTTCTGTCACAATCTCTCATTCACATCCAAACTGCATATTACACATAAAAGAAAAAAATACAAATCTCCCAAGTTTAAAATCTTAGCTTTTGTTGGATTTATCCATGCTTAACAAAAGAATATTGTTAAAATTTAGCTTGCTAATTGTCAGGTTTGGTGGATTTTGTTGTGGACCAAAACGCAGATTAGAAGGAGGCAGAGGTGAGTTCTTGCAGGTTTAATGTACAGTAGAAAGCAACAAAAACAAAAATCAAAAAACAAATTCAGGAAACCAAAAACCAGGAGATACCAGGGGAAAACACACATGTGGAGAAAAGCAACGACCAGAAACAAGCAATGAAGAACTGCGAAGGGGGTGTATGTATGGGGCACAGAACAAAAGATGGGCTTATGAGCTGATATGGAGCAAGTGTGGATAGAGGTAACTAGAAGGGAGCTATGGGAAAATAGACTGGTACAAGGGGGCAACAGAGTAACTCAAAAAGTTCAACCCTACTTAAATATAACACAAGATGCAAAGTAAACCAATGACTGACAAAACAGAATGAAATAAATTACTTAAAACTCAAAAAGAAACTCAAAAAGAAGTCCAAAGGGGAGAACCATAACTGCTTAATAGTAAATTTGCTAAATTAATTTATCTTTTCCTGTTTTTGAGTATCCTTTACTATTCCTTTCACTAGATTAGTTTGAATTATTCTCCTCAACTATGTTCAGTATTACTTCATTTGAGTCTCAAAAGGTCATTTCTATGTCTTTAAAACAGATAAGAATGTCAGTTTAGAAATATCTAGACCAACATAATTTAGGCCTTTAAGGCATGTGTCAAATCTCTAAAAAATAAGCTAGTAAATCAGGCTTAACCTCACCCCCCCGCCAACACACACTTACACACTGACTGTTTCTGCACTCATGTCCTCAAGGAAACAAAGCACAGGCAGTATCTTCTCACCAAAAAGACACAGTCATGACCTAATATTGACAGATAAAATCTTTACAGAAATGTTGCAAACCTCACCTTTGACAGGCCTCCAACATCCAGATAAAAACAGATGATAAAGACGTTCCAGGCTACCCAAAGTGCGGCCCAGACTGTGTACTGCAAAAGAGACACATGATGGATTAGCAGACAAAACATTTAACAGAAACTAGAAGAAAGAAAAATAAAATAAGTTTAATGAGATTTAAAAATGGAAGATTGTTATGATAGAAACAAAAAACGAAAGACATGATTGCATCACACTGATAACACCAAACCAAAATACTGTATATTTGCACCATATATATTTAATGCTCTGAACGTCAATATCAATGTGTTTTTGCACCATGTTTTTTTCTCCCACACTGTTTAAAATTGATCACTGCTGCACTTTATGGAATGGAAATGTTCTGAAAGCTGTACAAAATGAAATTTTGTTCTGTATACACTTGGTTATACACTCTATTATATCCAGAATATGACGCATATAATAAATGTTAATCGTATGTTGATGTCCTATGCAAAGCTCAGGAGAATTCTATGAATTGCACGCTGCAGACCTTTGATTCCAAAATCCAACAGCATACTGCGAATGCGCACAAAGTCTATGATCTCACAAAATCAACTTTTAAGACACGAGGGGAAAATTAAGATGGGTAATAGGGGGTTTGTGTGCTGAATTATGCTCAAAAAGTGTTTTTTTCCCCCCCAAAATTATTCATCATTACATGTAAAGTTCTGTGGATTTCCTTATTCTCTTCTCCTCACTGATACATTGCAATAACGTAAAGCTTTGTTTTAAGCAAAGTACAGCTTTAGCTAAAGGATATGAACAAGAAAATGTCAGATGGATACTTAAGCAACTGCTCTACTTTATTTAGATCAGATGTGCAACAATTCATGTTGATTATTAAGACTGAATGCTGGAACTAAATTACAAAGTAAAATAGATTTAAACTGTGTGAAAAAAATAAAAAGATTATTTTTAACATTTTTTTCCTTATTTTGGATTTTTTATTTATCATTATACTGTTTAAACTAAGAGAATATACATTTAACTGATGGTAATAACAATAGTTAAAAGCATTATACATGGTCCCTTTTTTGACATAATAAAAAAGTATTTTTTACAGATAAGATTAGACTCTTGAGAGCCAAGTATATACAAAGAAACCGGAAATTTACATATTCATGACCTGGCTTTGATGAAGTTACTAGGAAGTTCAGTCATTCTATGTAATCCCTGTAGGAGTTGTGGCTTTTTAAATTGCTGAGGCTAACTGCAGTTCATGACTCAACCATTTAGAAAATTGTACAGTCAGACAGCCAAGTGCTGACAGACACAGAGTGGTACTGGGTGGTATTCAATGATGGAGTTATCCAAGGGAAGGTTGTGAAATCCTCTCACTCAAGATGAAATATGTGCTTTAAGTGTCAGAGTGAGAGCAAAGAACAAAGCCGCAGTTCCATAAAAACATGCGTGTTGAATCACAAAACCCCTTCAGCTTAAATTCTTTTATTTTCCACTTGACATGAGAGAATAGCTTCGACTTTCCCTTCTTCCGCTCCTCCTTTCACCTCCTGCTTCCTCTGATTCTCTGGCTTATCCTGTGTGGCTTCACTGTACGCTAAATTATCTTTCCTGTCTGTCTTTATTTACTTTCCTAGCCATCTTTCCAAATTTTCCACATCTGTTCTTTCCATTAACTGTGCATAAAACATGCTTCTATGCCGCAGAAAATAACAGAAATATGTCAAATGGAGTGTCAAAGCAGTACTACAGACCTTTCAGTCTTGGTCGATTTTGGTTCCCCCAATGGACAAAAGCTGTATTTTTTTTCCCTTAAAGGAATAGTACACCCAAAACATGATTAGCCTTCATTTTCTACTCACCCCCATGCTGAACAACACTCTGGAGTACTTTTTTGATATCTCAAATGCATCTGGAGATCTGGGAGGCTTCTTGCTGTCTGCTGACATTCAAATAATGGAGGTCTATGGTGACCGAGACAGAAAGGTCCATAAAAGTCCACAAAAAACGTTTCAATATTCCTCCATACTGCTCGTCCAATGTATTCCAAGTGTCCTGAGTGGGTAGCATCCAGAATTTACTCGAAACGAAGTCATTTAGAATGTTTTTAGAGCATAAACAGTAGTGTATAGGATTTCCTGAAAGCGCGCACATGCGCGCTCACGACGCTACGGAAGCCGGCAGACCAAACCAGCGCATTCAGCTCGGCAAAGAACTCATGCTCTTCCTCAACACTGAAGTCCTCAGACATTTTTCTTTCGTTGTTTCTTTCTTTGCACAGGTAAACGGCACATTTCTTCTTCTGCGCTTGCATTATTGGCAGAGCAGACGCTGAATGCGCACTTTCATCTGGCTTGGTCTGCCGGCTTCCGTAGCGTCGTGAGCGCGCATGTGCGCGCTTTCAGGAAATCCTATACACTACTGTTTATGCTCTAAAAACATTCTAAATGACTTCGTTTCGAGTAAATTCTGGATGCTACCCACTCAGGACACTTGGAATACATTGGACGAGCAGTATGGAGGAATATTGACACGTTTTTTGTGGACTTTTATGGACCTTTCTGTCTCGGTCACCATAGACCTCCATTATTTGAATGTCAGCAGACAGCAAGAAGCCTCCCAGATCTCCAGATGCATTTGAGATATCAAAAAAGTACTCCAGAGTGTTGTTCAGCATGGGGGTGAGTAGAAAATGAAGGCTAATCATGTTTTGGGTGTACTATTCCTTTAAGGAAGGCAACACTTCCCATGAGGAGTAGAGCATAGTGCAGGTAAACCCTGATCTCCTGGTTGCCTGCAGTTTGACTCAACTAAATTTCTTTTTGCAGTGGCCATGTGAATATTGATAAGACAACAATATCATATGAAAATTTTGAAAAAAAGACCTGTTCAACTTTGGTTTTGTGCCATATTCATGCACCGCCTCCCCAACACCACACCTGACTCGTCAGTAACTGATGTGCTGACGAATTTAGAGCCTTGAAACAGATAAATATAATTTTATGTTTGATAATTTCACAGTAAATGCACGTATAATCACAAAAGTCCTTCATTATTTTATGACGGTTGAAAAGTTACTTAGGCCTCATGTGCTTTTAAAAAAAAAAGCCATGATTTCGTCTGGTTTAATTAGCCCAAACTACCTAGGGATTAAAGTCATTTAATAGACTTTTGCACTGCACAAATTAATGCACACTTCCTTGGGAAGGTGACAAAACACCCAGTGATCTATGTACATAGACCAAGAGCTTAAAAATAATGCAATGCTAATTGAAAAACACCAAAATAGAAAAATGGATTAAAAAAAGACAGAGAAAACACTCACAGGTCCCTTTATTAAGAAGACTTGCTCAATTGCTTTCTGACACATAGGTAACAGCCAATCACATGGCAGAAAACATTACATGTTTTTTTAGGGACCTTGGTGAAGATGAATTGCTAAAATCCATACTGAGCATTACGTACAATGTTAAATACAAGAGATTTAAAGGAATTTAAAATGGATGTTGCTACTAGACCAGACTTGTCTGAGTATATCGGGAACTACTGATCTACTTGACATAGTTGTCTTTAAGGTTTACAGATGGCTGTTAGAAAAATAAATAACGACCACGAAGGGACTGAGTATAATGCCTTGAGACAGTAGAAAGGCAGAAATCTGTTTAAAATACAATTCAGTCTCACTGAGCCACACTACATACTGTCTACAACACATTGAGTATTGAAGAGAATTAGCTATAGCAGAATAGGATCTCACAAAGTGCCACTCTTTTCAGCTCACTTTCACAAGAAAGGACAATCTGAGAGTTGAAATGTTTTGCAGAATCAATGGCCGTTTCTCAATTTAGAAAGAACGTCAGTATGGACTTGACAAGAACACGAAAGTATGGACTAGGGGAGAACGGGAACACGAAGCATAAATATGGGTCAGTTGGAACAGAAGAGCACTGGTGATGTAACGACACGCTTGGCACATCTGGAGCTGCTTTTCACCTCCTCCCCCTTTATACCATGTTCTTGCAGTTACTTTGTTCACCATAAACAGATTTTTTTCAGTTTTGTTATCGTTCAGGTAAAACTTCATCGGTTATTAGACACGCTAACACTACAGATGCTCCAGACTCTGACGCTGCGTGATGGTATTATCTTTGTCTGGGCAACCACGATGTTTTACATCATGTGGCAACATTCAGCCAATTGTGTAGCTTAAGGCCACTGGCATGCGCAGGGCCTGAGCATATCTGACCACTCGAGCAGATCTGGTACCTACACCGGCTATGCTGAGAGAGGGCTGCCTTCATAGGTTCGCTGGTTGTCAAGGTCCTCTCAACATCAGAACTTTTTTTTAAATTACGCATGAAATCGGTAAATGGGCCATATAGTCACACTTAAAATGATAATGGTCTCACCTCAAATTATCTTAAAACTTACTTTTATAGAACATCGGCAACAGAAAAGTGAACTTTTGACTTAATACTCTGAGCTCTGTGAGCAATCCTCTGGAAGCTGCTGCTGTGCATGCGGGGACAGCTGTCAATCATGAGAACGGAAGAAGTCTCCTCTGATGCATACTCAGTAAAGAGAGAGGGATGAGAACAACATCTGGGGACTTTTCTCGGTCTTGTGTTCTTGTAAATTGGAACTAGCACACGAGAAAGCACAAGTACACAGATTGAGAAATGGCCAATGAGTCTTTAATTCAGCTGTCATTAAATGGTAGCATTCAGCTTTGTCATAGCCATAGCAATGAGGATCTATTCTTTTTTGTATTTGTATTATTGAGTACTTTTGACAACAGTGTCCCATGGCTACTAATGACAGGACAATATTAATGTATGTCTTGGACAATCACAAACTGGTTTCCTAAGTTTTCTGTAGTCTGCTGGCCTCCAAACTCCCCAGATCCAAAACTATTTGAGAACCCAGTGGGATGTAGCTCAGTATGGTATTAACATAAAAAAAAAAACATTAGAAAACAAGCTGCAACACCTTAGCTAAAAGATGGCCCTTTGGCTTTAAGTCTACTTTACTTACCACTACAATGTAACGTGGTCGGTACTGGATTGTTCCAAATAGGCCCAAGATTACGATAATGATATGGAAGAAGTTTGCAAGAATGGGAGCCCACTGGTATCCAAGGAAGTCAAACACCTGCCTCTCTAAGGCCAAGACCTGAAAAAAAAAGAACAAAAATATAAATTAATATATTGGAGGCAAGATGATTTCCATGAAGTGTGATATTCTGCCAGGATGGAGACATTACTGCCTGGAAGGTAATCAGGAATATTTAGATGAATCATACTTTAATGCTTTCATATTTGCTATATTGGTAGGTCTTTTTTGGACTATGGGCATGCACAAAGTAATTGCACTTTTAAAACTAAAACAGTTACAAGTAATTGTACTGTTTGTCAATTAGGAGCTTATTTTTCACTGGTTGGATATTGGCCTATTAACAACACTCAAAATATTGCATATAAAGGTATAGATTTGACAATCAGAATCAGAAAAGACATATTTGTGAAAAAAGTTAACAAACATATAGTAAAATTGAAGGCTGGCTCCGGAAAAAAAATAATGGTTTAGAAGAATAGGAACAAAAGTATTTTTTTCAACGTCTTCCAATAAGGCTTCCATGCTCACCACAGTGCTGATAGTGCCCTTGACATCTGTATAAATGCAGACTGTGGAAGAACCATAACTCTGCTTTTATTAGACCTTAGTGCAACATTTGAATACTGTTCATTACTCCATTTCATTAGAGTATTTGGAAAACTGGATCGGTCTTTCTGGTGCACTTGACTGGTTTGAATCCTACTTGAAGGACGGGGACTTTTTTTTGTTAGGCAACTTTGCGTCACTTATGGCATTCCTATGAAGGTAAATATGTGCCAAAATGAACGAACTTGTGAATTTAATGTGAAAACTTGAGAATGCAATGTGAGAATTTGTACCACAAAAATCTGAACTTGTATGCCAAAATGTTCTGCTGTAAAGAAAAACCGCACACACACAAACTGAATTTGAAGTTGCACTAAAAGACATATCAGGCAAGACCATGTAAAAAAAAAAAAATACATGTGTGTCCAATCTTCACCTGAAGAGGATTTTCACTCAAATCTGATTAAATGTGAATGCACAAAAAAACTATTTACTGGTGTGTTCATATAGTTTTACACAAATAAAATTACAGCTGACAAATGATTATTGATAGTTTCTTTGTAATTATTATTTTTTTGCATATGTTAATCTTGCATTACAACCTCAATTTAGCCATTACAGCTTCTTGAATCTGCTGCTTCAAGAACACAAACGCGCTCTCGCGAGTAACAGCACGTTGACACCACGCTTGGACTTTTGTCACATTCCTTGCGAGATATTTGTGCCAAAACGAACTTGTGTTTGAAGATGTGAGAGCAAGTGGGGGGGGGTTCTATAGGCCAACCAATCACAGGCTGCGTCTCAATTCGCAGGCTGCGTACTTGGGAGGACGCCTTTGGAGCACTTCCTGGCTTCTTTTTTTTTTTTTTTTTTTTGTAGTTGAAGAAAAAAAAGAAGAAAGTCGGATTTTCTTCAAGTTACGGACAACCGAAAGCAGCAGCAGCGCCGGCAGTAGAGCGGAGAACACCTTTAAATGTAAGTAGTTTGTTTTTGCTTTTTTTAAATGAACATCTATTAAAATACATGACGGTAACAGAGCCACCGGGATGTGTAGGACCAGCTAAAGCTAAAGCTTAAAGCTAACCTGTTGATACGTGATGTTCATCAACAATTAAAAGCCTTCATACAAATGTCACTATTTTTTATTTTAACCTACATCTTACTGTACTGATAGCCGTATCCCTCTCTAATCAGATCTATTTATTCTCAAACAGTTTATTACAAAGTATTAGAACTTTTAAAGCTTAATGCAGCTGAAGAAATAACATTAGTCCAGCTGTACTGGGCTGTTAATACTGTAAACGTTTTGTTTTAATACTGAAGAATGTATAGTTAATTTACAGTACAGTATAATAAGGTTTAAAGTATAATTCACTTGAAGAACAATACCAGTGTAATTATACAGAACAGTCATTTTGCCTGTTTACATAACAGAAATATGCTTTACATGTCATTTTGTTCCAGGGAGCAGACAGAGGAGTGGATAAAATGACCACTTCATCATCGGGGCCAAAAATACTGCTGCAGTCGGATGGAGCGAAGAGTTGAGGCAGAATTCCATCTACATGTTGCATTTCTATGTAAAAGTCACACAAGTTAAAAGAAGTCCTGTTCAAACACCAACGTACAAATATATAATAATTTGATCACATCAAATGATGCTCAGATGCCACTTTTTGTAAATCTCATATTTGTGATAGAAGTGATCCTTGTGTGGGACAACTTAAAAAAAAATACAAAGTATGTTCAGGTTTGGATAATGTAATGGGACACACACAATATATATATATATATATATATATATATATATATATATATATATATATATATATATATATATATACAGGTGCTGGTCATAAAATTAGAATATCATGAAAAAGTAGATTGATTTCAGTAATTCCATTTAAAAAGTGAAACTTGTATATTATATTCATACATTACATACAAACTCATATATTTCAGATGTTTATTTTGTTTAATTTTGATGATTACAAATGACAACAAATGAAAATCTCAAATTCATCATATCAGAAAATTAGAATATTACTGAAGACCAATAAAAACAAAGGATTTATAGAAATGTTGGCCAACTGAAAAGTATGAACATGAAAAGTATGAGCATGTACAGCACTCAGTATTTAGTTGGGCCTCCTTTGGCCTGTATTACTGCAGCAATGCGGCGTGGCATGGAGTCGATCAGTCTGTGGCACTGCTCAGGTGTTATGATAGCCCAGGTTGCTCTAATAGTGGCTTTTAGCTCTTCTGAATTGTTGGGTCTGGTGTATTGCATCTTCTTCTTCACAATACCCCATAGATTTTCTATGGGGTTAAGGTCAGGAGAGTTTGCTGGCCAATTAAGAACAGGGATACCATGGTCCTTCAACCAGGTACTGGTAGCTTTGGCACTGTGTGCAGGTGCCAAGTCCTGTTGGAAAATGAAATCTGCATCTCCAAAAAGTTGGTCAGCTGCAGGAAGCATGAAGTGCTCTAAAACTTCCTGGTATGTGGCTGCGTTGACCCTGGACCTCAGAAAACACAATGGACCAACACCAGCAGATGACATGGCACCCCAAACCATCACTGACTGTGAAAACTTTACACTGGACTTCAAGCAACGTGGATGAAGTGCCTCTCTTCTTTTCCTCCAGACTCTGGGACCTTGATTTCCAAAGGAAATGCAAAATTTACTTTCATCAGAGAACATGACTTTGGACCACTCACCAGCAGTCCAGTCCTGTTTCTCTTTAGCCCAGGCAAGACGCTTCTGACGCTGTCTGTGGTTCAAGAGTGGCTTGACACAAGGAATGCGACAGCAGAAACCCATGTCTTTCATACGTCTGTGTGTGGTGGTTCTTGAAGCACTCACTCCAGCTGCAGTCCACTCTTTGTGAATCTCCCCCACATTTTTGAATGGGTTTTGTTTCACAATCCTCTCCAGGGTGCGGTTATCTCTCTTGCTTGTACACTTTTTTCGACCACATCTTTTCCTTCCCTTCGCCTCTCTATTAATGTGCTTGGACACTGAGCTCTGTGAACAGCCAGCCTCTTTAGCGATGACCTTTTGTGTCTTGCCCTCCTTGTGCAAGGTGTCGATGGTCGTCTTTTGGACAACTGTCAAGTCAGCAGTCTTCCCCATGATTGTGTAGCCTATAGAACTAGACTGAAAGACCATTTAAAGGCTTTTGCAGGTGGTTTGAGTTAATTAGCTGATTAGAGTGTGGCACCAGGGGCCATCAATTTTGAACCTTTTCACAATATTCTAATTTTCTGATATGATGAATTTGAGATTTTCATTTGTTGTCATTTGTAATCATCAAAATTAAACAAAATAAACATCTGAAATATATGAGTTTGTATGTAATGTATGAATATAATATACAAGTTTCACTTTTTAAATGGAATTACTGAAATCAATCTACTTTTTCATGATATTCTAATTTTATGACCAGCACCTGTATGTGTGTGTGTGTGTAGGGAAATTACATCTGACATTTATTATATTCATGTTAATTTTCAGTAAGCTTAAAAAAGTAATATCCAGGTTACCATTCCAAAGTCTTTTTCTGTAGAATTTCATTAATCCATCCAAATCATGAAACCTTCCTTTTTTCTAGCTTTAAAGAAACACTACAGAAAACAGGGGGTCAGTGGGAAGCCTACTGCTGCCACCTGGCCCTGGTTTGTCCTCATGGATGAGGTATTAGGACAGAGGCCACCTAATGCCCCACCTGTCCTAATTGCCTCCATCCCTGAGGACACAGCAGGGCCAGGTGCTGCAGAGGCTGAGCAGCACCAGGTTGACGATGAGGAAGAGAATGAGGATGAGAGGCCAGGAGAGAGGAGGGAAAGGAGCAAGAGAAGAAGAAGAGACGAGTTGGTGGATTTAATCAGGGAGGATATCAGATGGCAGAGGGAAGCGGGATAGGATGGACAGATTATTTCATTTATTGGAGAGGATGGTGGACAGACATTATTATTTTTGGTGGTTTTTTTTTAACAAGTTCAGGTTATGTGTTGCTGTTATTAAATTAAATTGTTTATAAAAGTTATTGTTGTCGGTGTGTTCTTAAAGTCTTTTATCTGTTTCATCACTTCTTTATAATTTAAGTAAACTTAGAACAACTTCTCAGTGACATCAGTTTATTTTTAGAGAAGCAAGTATTTACAATAAACTATTAAAAACATTTTTAAGTATTGAAATTAGATTTTAAAATTAACTGCTACAACTATTTACAGAAGATATACAGTAAATATTACTAGAGAACATATATATATATATATATATATATATATATATATATATATATATATATATATATATATATATATATACAATTGTGACTGAGCAGGAGTCCCTGGTGGTGCTGCTGGACTGGATGCGATGCCACACAGATGACCTTGGAGTCTTCTGACTGTGAGTGGGACATCATCTGGGGGGTGGGGGTGCCTCTCTCCACTGTTCACCATATCATCCATCAGGGTTTGCAGGGCTGACCCAATCGACAGATGCCCCAATTGACGGCTGCCATGTTACTAAAAAAGTTTAAAATGACGAAGAAAATAATGACTTTACTAAAACTGTTTTCATTACCCTGAAATAACAGCTAAAATGTGATTAAAATGCGCTAAAATGTGACAATCTAAATGTAATGGTGGTCGGGTAGACCCTCCTCCAGGGGCAGACACCTTGGCAGACAGCTGGTCCCTCCATGGAGCACCACTGACTGCCTCCAACACGTTCTCCCCTCCTCATCCTCTGGCATGTCATCCTCTGGGGCCGTGATATCACCAGCTCCCAGGCAGATGTTGTGCAGGACAGCACATGCCGTTTTGACCTGTAGAAAAAAATAGACAAAAATATTTATTTTTATTCAGTCATCTATCTTTATTACATGATTTATTAGAAATTAAATTTTACTTAATCTAGATCCACTATTTAACTTATTTTTTCGTTTTTATATTTTTATTTTTTTCCTGTATTATGTTTATATATATATATATATATATATATATATATATATATATATATATATATATATATATATATATATAATTGCAAATAAAATCAGGCAGTAAGGGGATAACAATTTAGACAAAAAATGATTTATTTCTCAACAGTTTGGCTTCTCAACAAAACATTAGTAATGGTGAAAGTAGTTATTCAAGTCAGTTATTTACAGGGTTTGTACACATTTAAGTATTCAATTCAAATTACTAAAGTTACAAACAAATAAATTACAAACTTAAAAATAAATATAAAATTTGATATTTAAACATATTCATCAATCTGCTGACAAGCGTTTATTTAATAACTGGTATATTCTGATCATTAGCAGGCCCTGTGGGTTAGAATAATAGCAGGTAGATCTTACCTCTCCACTGCGCACTGCCAGCCTGAGATAAATCCGTCGCAGGTTTTGCTGCCGCCGAAGCCGTCAAAGCGACTCTCCTCCTCCAATAACAAGTAAATAAATAAAAATAAAAAAAATTTCCATATCTATTTTTTTGTTTTTGTTGTTTCTTTCCGTATTTCTCGAGCTGTCGGATTTTGTTTGCCGCTGTTTTTGGGGTAAACGTGATGACGTCGTGTCGTAACCAGGAAGTGCTCCAAAGGCGTCCTCCCAAGTACGCAGCCTGCGAATTGAGACGCAGCCTGTGATTGGTTGGCCTATAGAACCCCCCCTTCAAACACAAGTTCGTTTTGGCACAAATATCTCGCAAGGAATGTGACAAAAGTCCAAGCGTGGTGTCAACGTGCTGTGTCTCGCGAGAGCGCGTTTGTGTTCTTGAAGCAGCAGATTCAAGAAGCTGTAATGGCTAAATTGAGGTTGTAATGCAAGATTAACATATGCAAAAAAATAATAATTACAAATAAACTATCAATAATCATTTGTCAGCTGTAATTTTATTTGTGTAAAACTATATGAAAACACCAGTAAATAGTTTTTTTGTGCATTCACATTTAAATCAGATTTGAGTGAAAATCCTCTTCAGGTGAAGATTGGACTGACAAGTGTAATTTTTTTTTACATGTTCTTGCCTGATATGTCTTTTAGTGCAACTTCAAATTCAGTTTGTGTGTGTGCGGTTTTTCTTTACAGCAGAACATTTTGGCATACAAGTTCAGATTTTTGTGGTACAAATTCTCACATTGCATTCTCAAGTTTTCACATTAAATTCACAAGTTCGTTCATTTTGGCACATATTTACCTTCATACATTCCCCAAGGCCCCTCATATTCAATATTGTCATGATTCATTTAGAAATAAGATTCCAAAACCCAAAGTTATAAATGTTCTTTCATTCATGGAGTAGCTGTTGCAATCAACATGTAAAGATCCTAGTAGCACTCTTTTTGATAGTGTTGCGCCGATGCCATTTTTTGGCCCCGATACCGATACCCGATACCTGGCTGTGCAGTATCGGCCGATACCGATACCATAATAATGTAAAATAATTGCCATCATGACTTTGTCAAGCTGCTTCCTACCTTTGTGAAGCAGGAAAAAGACTTATACAAAGTGAATCCAGTAGAACTTTTTATTGCCTACCAGGAGTGGGTGACAATAGTTGAATTAACTTATGGCTCTCAAAATGGTATCGGTGCCCTATTTGTTGGTACTC